TGTGGGGTTAGCCTCTGCTTGCTCTGGCAAGGGTCCAGCAAGAATTACCTGATTGCGCAGGAGGCGTTTGAAAGTGCGCCATCAGTTGGTTTGCCATTGCCCACTCTCATACCTAGGGGCGCACACGGTTTCGCCTGTGACACCACCGGCAGGCGGCAAACCACTCAACAAGCCATGCTGTTGCATGTGCTGTATAGCCAGATACAGGCGCAGGTACATACCACATCAATAACATATTCATATCGCATGAGGGTAGCGCCTGAACATAAAAGCTTGCAAAGTACATGGGTGCGCGTCAGCATGGGATGCGGCGCGTCCGCCAGCCAGGCGCCGAACGCTCATGTTTGTGGGTTGACGGGGCAGATTGTGCCTTGCAGGTTTGGTCGTCAAAGCGAACTCCTTTTGTTCCGGGAACTCGCCAAATTCCCGACCCAGAATTGCAGCAGCTTCTGGAGAACCACGGCCTCCCGGCTTGCTTGTTTGCTTGGTTGGTGGGGCGCATCTTTGAGTGAATGGGTTTTTCTTCTTGTTTTACGGGCTGTTGTCAGGCTTGTCTACGCGAATTGCCTGTTTGCAGCAAATGGGCGTGACAAAGCCCAGCGACATTGCAGATCTGCTAGTGGCTGACTTGGAGGAGGTTGGGCTGCACCGCATGTTCCGTCTTGATCTCTGATGCTAATTCAGTCGGATGGGTTTGTTGGATTGCACTGCAAACTTTGCATCTGCGTGCGCCTGCTGGCGCAAGCCATGCCCGAATGGAGGCTGGGTTGTCCCGTGTTCAAATCCGCAAGCTTCAACGAGCTGTGGGCCCGGGGCCAGCTTCCACAAGTTCCTGACGTGCATTTGGAAATTGCAGCAGGGTATTTATTTAAGGCTTTTGTATTTGCATATGTATAAGAAATAAATCAATAAATAAATAAATATATATATATATTCATTTGTTTTGTGTTTTTTTGGCTTCTTGGCTTTCCGGCTTCCTGGTTTCTTGGCTTCGCTTCTCGCTTCCCGGCTTTCCAGCTTCTTGGCTTTCTGGCTTTTTGGCTTCCAGCTTCTTGGCTTCTCGGGCTTCTTGGCTTTGCAGGTTCTAGGCTTTTTGGCTTGCTCGCTTCAGTTTCGGGAATTTTGTTTCTCCCCACACCCCTTTTTCTTTCAGCGATCCATTCTCGCGGTAAACAATCATGCCCCCCAATCTTTTAAAGCCGTCATCCCCATAGTTGCAGCGTGGCAAGGCTGTGTGCATCATTTTGTTTGCAAAGGGGGGGGGGGGCTGCCCCCCCCCCCATGCTTGCGGTAAAGAAATGTCATGGCCATGTGTCCCGTGAGGAGGGAGGGTCAGAGAAAATTATGCGGATTATTATTGTTCATGCTACCATTAATTTTCGTTTGTAGCTTGTTACAAGCATCATCATTGTCCATAATGCGTCTTCTCTTTTATCACTACTGTTATCAGTGCTCTGTTTATTATGCCTCTTACAACAAATATTATTCATTCTCGTGTCTATTCCAATTATCATTCTAATCTACCGAGACCTTGCAGGAGCATCCTCAGAGATTGCTCTCGCGTAGAGCGTCCTCAAATATGGGCTCATACGTGAGCTCTCACATGGAGCATTTTCAGATTTTGACACCAAATTGAGGTCCTACGTAGAGTGTCTTGAAATGTGGGCTCAAAACCGAGCTCTCGCGCGGAGCGTCCTTACATGTCGGCAGTTTGGCTTACAGAAAGCTCAGGAACCCCCCTCCCCCCCAAAAAAAAAGAAACTTCAACTAATTTACGTAAGTTTGATGTTTTTTTGATGTTTTTTGATGCAATGCTGAGGTTCCTCGTCGCCGGTCGTTTCGCCGTCTGGAATTCAGACCAAAGCTTGTGACACCGGGACCTTTCCCGCCAAAAGCGCTCCTCCAAAGGAGTTTGTACCCCAGACTCAAGACTGATGTGTTAAATCGCGTTGCCTCTTATGTGTCCTTGATATGGCTCAGGTCGAGCGTTCTGAGCCCTGGCACAGAACCGCTGGCCACAACACCACATGTTTCGGCTTCTTGGTGACAGCACACAGTTTAGTGAAACAAGCTCAGTGAAAGTGAGCTGGGCAGTTGTTGCTTTTGGAATCCCCCGGTGTTTGCTGGCTTGCACCGCTGCTTTGTATAGTGGCGTGCCCTTACCCGCAACTGACAGAGCTCAAACCATTTCGCCCATAAGTGAGACTACAAGAGCATGTGAGGAGAAATCGTCGATAGCCCTCGCAGCAGACCAAGTGGATGCTGAACCATTGCATCAGCAGCCGAAGCAACTTGGAAGAACATGGCGGGCCGTTTTCTTCCCCAAGATCCTCCTTTCCAGACAGACAGTTTCCACTCCTATATTCTTGTTTTTCATCCCTGCAGGACACTGATATCAGACCAACGCTCGCCGAAAGCTGCTGGGAATATCCCAAGCTTCTCTGCGAGTGAAAACCAACTTGATGGTGCCAATGATGGGAGTGAACGATGTCACATCCAAACGAAGATCAAGGCAAAATCGCCAGTGCACCAGTCGGCGGGCAGGCCGCCATTGTACAAAAACACCGTTCCACAAACGCACTCACCTTCAACCAGCCCGACTGAACGTTTGCCATCTCCTGCAAGAGGCTCAGCTGTCAGGCCTGATTTCGGGACGCCGCCGCTTCCGCACAGCGTGAGCGAGGATGAAAACCCCAGAGCTGCAGCTCACATTGCGCATGCTGATTCCCAGAATGCTGGGCTTGCAGAAAGCACAGAGGATTTCGACGTCACACTGCTACCGGAGGTGGCATCGCTGAAAGACAATATCCTCCGTGGAGGAGAGAAGAACGTGGCAGCGGCACCTGCAACTCCACCGCTCCCGAGGCATCTCATCAGACTTGCTGATTCAAGCTGCAAACATGCGTGGCAATTGCTTTGCAATCCCCTGAGGATAAGCCGTGGATTCGGCGCAGGACCACAACCACAGGCCAGTAAGCCTACTTGGGAATTGACATTTGCTGACACGACAGGCAGATTGAGTGATTAAACATCGTTTGAGTTTGAGATTCATCCCATCAACTGTTTGGCAACGATGGTAATGCGTCCTGCCCGGTCTTGTGGCTGTCGTGTCAGGTTGGTAGTGATGCACCAGCGCCGAGTTCTCAGATGCCACCGTCACTTCGGCAGCGGCTCGAGGCCCGCGAGGCAGGAGGTTCGGAGTGGGGAGTATCCCTTTTGCTCCCATGCATGCTGCATCATGCTGTGGCGACTTTGACTCCAACATGCAACGACTGTGAGAACCAAACTTCAGCGGGGATGATTTGCCAGTAGGCATGCTGTGCCGTATACATGGGAAGAGCACGAAAGCCCTCACCCTTTGAGGAGGAGCTTCGAGGCAAACGCAAGAATCGGGAGTCTGAGAAAATAGAGGAGCTGAGGATCGACAGGCGGGGCTTGTGCAAGTGGCCTTCCCTCGCCACCTGAGACTTCAGATTCGCAATTCCATCCGTTCTTAATGCAATGCGATGCAAGGCGTGCAGATGTGCCATGCTAGGGGAATTGGCTCTGCAACAAAAAATCCCAACAGCGATAGAGACGTGGACGAACACGTTACATATTGTTCGTGATGCTGGCATAGGAAACCTGGAATACCAATAGCAATGCATAAAACAAGTTCAACATTGTGCGACTGACAGGCAAATTAAAAGAAGTATTAATATGATAAGAATACTACTAGATACTATTAGGCTAAAAGGAGTACCAACGTGGTTTGAACCCACACAGGCGCAGCTGTGGTGTGTTTTAAGCCGTGGTATCTCTTATTTAGAAATGGAGCAGCTGTGGTGTTTTTGAGTTGAAAAGAAGCAACAGTCGTGGTATTCGCTATTAGCAAATAGGGCAGCTGGTATTCCTTATTAAGGTCGAAATTGAACTGCGTAGTGGTTCTGCTTCTGAGAGGTATTCTTTGACCTTGGGATACCCCTTGAGAGGCTTTGGGAGGCCCAGGGGCAAATAAGACTTGGAGTGCAGGGTTTTGGGGGGTTTGAGTTTCCCGGAACATGATTTTGAGACGTGGTCCCCATGAACGCTTGCCTTGGTTCTTAACCTTTGCTAAATCCACGAATCCTTCATTGGTGGAGCCCACAGCACTTGTTTGGTGAACCTTTGCCAGGAGGACGCGTAGCCCTCCCAGCCGCCTGCGGAGTGCCTCTGAAGGTCCTTCAACACAGCGTGCTCCTGCCAGAGGGCGTCCTGCTTCTGTGGGTGCAGCGGGGAGGCGCGGCACGATTCGGGGTTGCCCGTGAAAGTGCCAGAGGCTATGCTCTCCAGGTCTACAAGCAGGTTTGAAGGGGCAGCAGGACAGGGAGACGCGATTTATGGCTCTGCTAGTTTTGAGCCGCGCACTTTCAGGCAGATGTTCGACAAGAACGAACTCCGGGCTGCCTATCGCGACCTTTTTGTTGAAGCCATCGAAAAGTACCAAGCAAGAATTTCAGCGGCTGTGCAGGAGTCGAGGACAGATAGGGCGCCGCAGCCAGGTAGCCTTCAATCTGCACAGCCAAAGCCAGTTCAGGTTTATGCCCGGAAGCGCCCTTTATTCAGCGATGAGATAGCCAAGCGCAATGACTTCGACGTTCTGCACATACTTCCTGGTGAGGGTTCTTCATCACAACTGGTTCTTCACAACTGCTTGTTCCAAGCAGACCTGCGCACGCCGATGGTGCACCACCTGCGCTTTGCCTTTGATCAAGTCTTCTCGCAGACTGCACTTGACCAGGATGTATACAAGGTCTGCGCAGCGAACCTCGTGGCAGCAGTTCGTAGCGGCCATGCTGGGACGGTGCTGATGTTCGGGCAAACTGGCAGCGGCAAGACCCATACCATGAGGGCCATCGAGACGCTAGCGGCAGCAGATTTGTTCCAGGACCTGGGCCCGAAGGTCCTGTCGATCACTTTTGTGGAGCTTCGTGGTGCCCGCTGCTTCGACTTGCAGGTTGCAAGCTTGCCTGAGCTTAAGCTGCGTGAGGTGCGTGAGGCATCAGGGAATTTCTTTGCTGCCGAGGGTGCTGTCGAGGTCTTTCCAGAAACTGTCGAGCAAGCGTGTGCAGGGATCCAAGCGGCAAGGCAGCGCCGGGCAACTTCAGTCACTGAAGCAAACGATGAAAGCTCCCGAAGCCATGCGATTTGTACCATCCGCTTGCGGGACACAGGAGGGTGTCTCACTCTTGTAGATTGTGCAGGGACAGAAAGAAGGAAAGACTCCGCAAATCATACACGCGAGCGGCAGCACGAAGGAGCTGAGATCAATGCATCGCTCTATGCCCTGAAAGAGTGTATCCGCTTCATGTCTACAAGGCAGCGCGTCCCTCCTCACGCTTTTCGTGCATCAGCACTGACAAAGCTGCTTGCAAGAAGTCTGTCTCGCTTGGACACGTCCCTTCTGTCGGTCATTTGTACAGTCGCGCCGGCCGCATCAGATACCGAACACACATTGTCCACTTTGCGAACGGGTGCGGCCTTACGCGTGAAGTCTGCCTGCGAGACCGAAAGAGAGATTCTGCAGAGTATCTCAACCAAGAATCGGGACCCACATCCTCGACAGTGGTCTCCTCACGAAGTGCAGGGCTGGCTTTGCCAAGTTGAAGATGGCTTCTTTGCGGCTGCTTGGAACAAGTTGCGGGGATTGTGGTGGGATTTGACATCATGCCATAGGAAGTTCGTTCTATTCCAAGCCTGTTGATAACTTGTGTGCCGTCAGGGACGTCAAGCTCCTCATTGCGTCTTGCAGGGTGTTCAGCACAGTCAGCACTTGGTCAGGATGTGTGCGCCGCACTCCCAGCAGAGTTCACAGGCCAGATGCTTGCTGCTTGGCCGAAGAGCCAGTGTGGATCTATCCAAGTCTAAGTCTACCCATGACACTTACACAGCTTTGACCCCAGCACCATCCAACTCACTTCGCAGATGCTTCCGGTCATAAACGGAGATTGCAACGCTTCTGGAGAGAGGGAATGCTTGCACAAGACAAGCTCTGAGGTTCGCCTCAGCGAGCCTCACTGTGTCCGTCTCTGTGGTTCGGAAAGCCGAGGCAGGAATCCGACTTACCAGTTCGTGAAAGGTTGGAAATCTTGAGCTGCGGTGTTGATTGGAGCACGATCCACTCTCAATTTCATTGCTTGAGGGGTTTGACTTCTTGCCTAAATGCCTAGGGGGTGTGAGGTCAGCTGCTCTTCGAGCTGCTGCGTGAGGCCATGCGAAGTTCAAACCAGATGCCGCCTCAGGAGGCCGTTAAAAAACGATCTGGAAGGTTGCAGCTGTGTTTGCTTTTGCTCCCCTTGCTGAGGAGGACATACATTCTGACCAAAGAGCCTCATGTGGTATTGGCTCTGCAGCGAACCGCACTACATACTTTTTCAGATGTAGTAACCTGCAGGGCCTGTAGGCATGATGTAGCCGAGGCTAGTAGAACAGCATGGCTTAAGCTAAAGCAAGTCTATGAAAGCTGCTTGATGTACAGAGTGATCCATGTGGAATGGCGCGGCTGAAAACATGGGGCGTCCGAGCAAAGGCCCATCATTTTTCTTGTTGTTGGCAGTGGTGTTTTCTGAGACCTTGTAGGCCTCCGTTGGCTGTTCGCGGCGTTGCTCAGTCCAGCAGGCCTGCGGCGTGCTTTCCAAATAGCAAGCAGGTATCAGAGCGTTTTGCAAGTACTGTTATTATGCTGGTGCCCAGTGCCATTTTATAGCATCTTCGTTGTATGCGTATGATGCGCCTTGCAATGCAGATGTCCGGCCGTCTGTGCCTGCCTCGCAAGATTGAGAAGCTGCACTGTTGATCCCCAAGTCTGATGTCTCCTGGAGAAACATGTTGATGTGGGAGGGGATGTAGTTGAAGTAGCGAAGATCCTGATGTCGGATCAGCCTATGCAGAATGAATTCAGCCTTTGCAAAAGATGCCTCTTTGCATGCAGGGGGATGTTTGACTTTTCTGCGGATATCTAGAAATGTTGTCTCCCAAGCTCCACGGTGGCTGTCATTCTACATTGTCCTAAGCCTGCCTTAATTCAGGGGCAGTTCTTGCCACATCATGCGACTCCGGCGCAGCCATGGAGGACAAGTTTTGCAACCACCCTCCAGCTCACAGTCGCCCCAGCAGTCGTTCTGAAGGGATTCGAGAGGATTTTTGTCATACAAGCTTGGTTCTGATGTAGTCCAGCGAATGAAAGAGACAATGCATTTGTTGAAGCGCCAGCCGACTACATGGGAGCTCGAGAAGCTCACGCAAATTTGGCTACTTAACGTTTGCATGAGGATCCTGATGCCTCGACGTTGATGCAACTCGAGCAGCTTGTCTGTAGAAGCTGGTGGGGGCACGTCCCACTGGGAAGTGATGTGTGCTTTAATGAACTACTATCCAAACCGTCGAGAGTGGATAAGGGACATTGAAAGACCTTGCAAAACCAGGCGAGGTGCTTCAAGAGCAGAGATTTGGCACTCCTCGCAGCTGACCATGGAGGCTAAGCCGTATGGGTGATGTGCAGCATACGCGTATCAATGCAGCTAGCTTGAGTCCAGAGATGTTTGTCTGTTGGAGGTTGATGCTCGCGTGACGAGCCCTACCCTCACATTGGCGAACTTCTTGAATAAGTCCGATGCCTGCTATGAGCGAGTCACAGCGCAGAATTGGGCAATTGTCGACTCACATCTTCATGCCCGACCTTTCGGTGGACCACCAGTTCCGTTTGCAGATCTGCTGGGAAGGCTTCAGAGGGCTGGCATTCTATTTACCACTTTGTATGGCATTGGTCAGCGGCTGCCGATTGACTCAACGTGCACTTATTATCTGGACTGCCCCGGGGTGAAGGTGGCAACAAGCTTGAAGAACGATTTCTTCAACGCACAGAGCGTCCTGGACAACGCAGAGGATCTCAATGACAGCCCAGTTGGCCCTGTAATCACGCTCTCTATGTCTTTCTTGGACCTGCACGATGTGGATAGTATAGTCGATAAGATGAAGCTACTACAGGCGGAGTTTCCGAAAATGTTCAGTTGGGTTGGCGAGATCAACTTGGTGAAGCAGGCCTTGTGGAACAACGACCAGGGGCTTCCAGTGCCCCTTGAATCGATCAAGTCTTGGGGGCCGTTTATGGCAGAACTGAGGAAGCAAAACATTCCACTGGCGTTGCACTCAGATCTGGGAGATGACGGAGATGGTCAGAAGTTTCTGCCGTTGATGGATGAAGTGTTGAGCCGGTATCCTCAGAATAAGATCATTTGGATGCACCTGGCAGGGCTGTCACGCCAACTTGATCCGAAGCTGTCCATGTCCCTCCTACAGAGGCCTACCTCCATTGAAGAGCATGTGCAACTCATTTCCTCCAGGCTGAAGAAGTACCCAAATCTCATGATCGACCTCTCCTGGGACGTCTTGTATGATGAAATCTATTCGTCATCAGACGAAGAGAGACCTTACATCAAGCTTCTCAACAGCTTTCCGACCCGTTTTCTCAGCGGATCGGACCATGTAGCTTCAGCTGAGAAGACGGAGGAGATGTATCGCGCCCTGGTAAGACTTTGATTAAGAAATGGCGTGCATCCCTTCCTGATGTAACTTGCCATGCAAACGGGTTGCCACACAAAAGCCAGCTCTGCACTTGGGCTTACATGCCTCGTGCTCCTTATGCTTAGTAAGTACTCCTCTCTTAGTCTTGGTTACAAGGAATCAACTTAACTAGACATAGATCCTAGGAACTACTTGTGCTAAGGAAGTGAGATCAACAAAACCAGCGAAATCTATCGCCACTTGAGTGATGATGCTTTCCGCCGCATTGCGCTCGGCCAAAACTTTTTTGATTTTGCAGGCCAGCTTGTTTGTTCAGAACCTGCGTGCAGGAATTGCTGGCGGGAGGGTCTTATATGCCGCCTCACACGGCTCTATTTGTGCTTGCATAAGGAACATGAACGCAGCTCTGAAGGGCTGTTGTTCGGCTAAGCAGACAGGAGATGAAGCCTCCCTACACCTCGTGATTATAGTTAACTGAGTCTGTCCATGTCCGCCCTCATTCCTCTGTGTTAGGATTCGGCTTCATTTGTCGCAGAAACGACCTGCTGTGTTGTCCCTTCGCAGGACTTCAGTACCATGCCCCGGAAATATGCAAGAGCTCCAGCCAGGGAAAGGCGCGGAATGCTACCAAGCTCAAAGCACAACAGATTGATCACAACACTGCCACTACATCCTTGACAAACGCAGCAGCATGGGTTGGCGGTAGGGCTCCTCATGCAACTCCGGCCACACAGCTGGCGTGGCAATGGCAAATCTAATAAGATGCCAGCAGGTACCTAACAATCAGGCACCTTGCTGTTGGACAGGCAGTGCCGCCAGAAGCTCCTCCAGAAAATGACGAGCAGGAAGGGGGACTTGTTGACGGACATGGGATGTTGCAGTTCAGGTTGTTGACCTATGTGGCTTGCAGGCCCATTCATTCACGGACGAAGTCAAGGCCAAAAAGGCAAGCTGTGTGACTAGTAGTAGAAGTATGCGAGATACCAGAGGGTGTGTTTTACATGTGCTTTGCAGACAGAGCAAAGGGACACAGTATCAGCATGACCAATTCCACATGCTGCAGGCGAAAGCCGCAGCAAAGCGATCACGAAAGAACAAGGCGGCAAGGGCCTGCAGTGTAGCAGTGTAGGACATTTCCGCGCTTCAACTGTCGCGACGGGAAGGAGAAGCTTGCCGAAAAAAAGCGAGAAAGGAAGCAGCAGGTAGGTCGGATGGTATCTTTCCAAGACAATCAGAGATGACATGCTTCGTTTGCTGCCTGCTGCGTGCGGCAGGTTGAAGAGGCACCGGCTGGATCGTTACTGGAGCAAAAGGCATCTGCTGGACGGTTGCTGCAGACGTCGGCGCCCCTGTCTTTGTTCAATTTCATGGGCTACTCCTCCACCTGCTATGACCGCACCGCGACTGATCAATGGCCCGTTGTTGATGCTCATCTTCATGCGCGACCCTTCGGTGGTCCCCCTGTGCCGTTTGACCAGTTAATTGAGAGGTTGCGGCGAGCAGGCATTCTGTTTGCAAACCTTTATGGAATCGGACAGCGCCTGCCAATTTCCTCCAATTGCACCTATTATTTGGACTGTCCGGGCACACCAATCCGCCCGAGTCTAAAAAATGATTTCTTCAATGCTCAGAGTATTCTGGACAGGAACGAAACGCTTTCGACTAGCCCAGTCGGACCTGTGCTGATACCATCCATGTCGTTCTTCGACTTGCATGCTGATGCCCAAGACAATCTGAAGAAGATGAAGCTTCTCCAGCAGGAGTTCCCCGGGATGTTCAGATGGGTGGGGGAGATAAACGTTGTGAAGCAAGCGCTCTGGAAAAACGACCAAGGTCTTCCAGTTGAAGTACGCTCAATAAAGTCCTGGGCTCCATTCATGGATGAGCTGCGTGAGCAAGACATGCCCATTGCTCTGCACAGCGATTTAGGGAACCAATTGGAGGGAGTGAGGTTCTTGAATTTGATGGACGAGATACTCCGTCTGTATCCGGACAACAAGATCGTCTGGGTCCACATGGCGGGATTGTCCAAACAGCTTGATCCCAAGCTTGCTTTGATCCAGATGCCGCTGGCGGCCCCTCTGACAATTCAAAGACACGTTCAGATCATAAAAGACCGCTTGGACGAGCATCCCAACCTTTACATCGACTTGTCGTGGGACGTGCTTTACGACGAGATATACGACAACAGTTCCGAGGAGCCTCAAGCGTGTTATCTTCCGCCTGACTCATGAGGCAGGCCCTAGCAGAACGCTGACTGCTTCATGCATATTGGTTGGAAGGAGCGCCGGTATATCGACTTGCTCAATGAATACCCCACACGGCCTCTCGGGAGCAGAGACAATAATGTGACTATTGCTAGGCTTATTCCGTGATTAAGGGCTGGGCTTGAATTGGCGGCATCCCATTCTGTTGCTGCAGGTTTCTCAGCGGCACCGATCATGTGGCCGCAGCATCAAAGCCTGAAGCTGCGTATCGCAGCTGCCTTGGTTGCCGATGGGTTTTGTGCGTCACTCTGGCATTTCAGCCTAACAGCCTGGCCTTGCCAATTGCCATGTGCTAAAAGATTTGCTATGTAGTGCTGTCTGTCCAGGAGATGAGCTTGCCAAGACGAGTGTTATCTACCGGGAGCTTTCCGACGAGGCTTTCAGGAGCTTGTCTGACTGACCGCGAGAGGATTTTCGTGTTTTTTCACCTCACCTTCTTGGAGCGGCAGGAACATTGCTCTTGGAGGAAACTTCTTCCGATTAGCACACTTGGAGCATCTCGGACAAGAGGATGGGATTGTCTTTGGGCGACTCTGCATGCCGTTCACCATGGTTGGAGTCATTTTTTGCTCGGGACTTGTTGGAATTAGAAATCGAGTCAATGTACTAATTAGAGGGAAGGGTGTTTAGCACTGTGTCTCAGTGCTGTGCAGATTTCACACGGATAGCAGGTTTGCGGTGTTTGCAGCTCTCAGGTATCGACCGCCTCCTCTATGCAGCAGAGGCCATGGGTTGTGGGAGGAGGGTCTGGCCAGCGGAAACATGTGGGAACCACCAAGAAGAAGGCTCAGGCAAAAGCGCCCTAAGCTAGGATCTTGTTTCCATGCGGAGTCAAGCACGTTGCGTGGTTAGCCAGGCCTGGCAGCGAGCCTGGTACCTGGATTGCTTGCAGCCCTTATCTTCGCACAGACCTTAGCAGATTGCCGAGCTATTCAGCTGCGACATTTGCGACAGCTCATTGTGATGAGGCTGCTGCGTTGCCATGAACATGGAGATTACCGAGATGCACATAGAGGCAGATGTAGGAGACAACCGGATGATTCATGCGAGCAGATTCAAATCTGTCATGCAGGTTTCCCATGTTTGCATGATCCGGTCACATTGCACTGTGAATGTGGCTGAAATTTCACCAAGCAGTCACCCAAAGTGGTGTTTGTGTCACAGCACCGGACCGAAAAAAGGTGGCATTTGATGCTGTCGGTGCAGGTCAGGAGGTTCTGCTCGCTTATTATTCCTAGGCTGGTTGCAGAGAACGGGTGGCCACTTTGCGCCAGAAGAGAGATGTACACAGAAGCTCTCGGCAAAGAAGCACCCCGCACAGGGTTGTGGCTCAAAGTAGGGCTTTGAGAGGTGCAACTTGACTGGTCTTCCTAGGCTGGGTGCTGTGGACCGGTGCATGTGGATATCAATAGGTAAAACAGGCAAGGTTCAGTTGTCACACTTCGCTCGGCACTTGCTCAGGCTTGTGTGTGCCTCAGAATGGGGGACTTCGTGTACCCGAGGCATGGCTGCATCCAGGACCCCCTGCAAACAGAGCAGAGCTCGCACGAGTCTGAGCGATCTCGAGGAGCTGATGCTGAAGGAGGCGGCCTGGACCGCGAAGTTCATCCGCCGCCAACGCGAGGAGGAGGCAGAGGCCGGGCGGGGAGAGAAGCAGGCGCTGAACTGGCTACTTAAAAGGGCACCACGGACGTTCCGGAGCAGTAGTTGCCGAGGCGACAAGGCAAATATACCCAGCTTTGATAGTTTTACTGCTGTTGAAGCCGCTGCCCCCCTACATGCAGGAGCGTGCTCTGCAACACCAGCGCTCGAATTGGGAGAAGCAGGCTGAGGAGAGATTCAGGGAACCATGGTGTGTGCTTAACTTGCCAGCATTCAGCGCCTAGCTGGAGATGCAATTCACCTTGCTGCAATGCCTTGTTAAGTCTGCTGGGATCTGTTGACAAGGCCAGGTTTCCAATGGGTTGTCTGTGCCTACCACGAAGTCGTTTGGTGTGAGTCACGCAAACAGGACACCATTGTCAAGTTCTTGAGCTCTCCAAGCACCACGCTTCCAAAGGCGTTTCATGAATGTTAATCAGCGCTTCTGCCACTGTCTTCTACCATCTTTGGGGGGTTGCATGAGATCCAAGTCCTGCTTGCAGGCGAAACGCAGTGCCACGCCAGCGGCAGAGCTCGCGCCTAACCATCAGCCAGTGCCAGATTATCAAGCAGCTCCCTTTCTCGAAATTCCATTTCTGGACTGTTGAGACTTCACTAAGGGCAAGCAAGGGCGAGACCAAGTGAGAAGCAAATCTTGGTGAAGACCTCGGCTGCTCCGGCTAGGCTGCTCCGGCTACGCCGCGTAAAATTTAGCCCTAAAAATTGCTCGTCCTTTTCTTCAAGGACTTGCCGAGCATGGTCGGCGAAGCCGACTCGAGCGGTTCGGCATGGTTCAGCTGGCGAGCTTGCTAGGCCCTCCTAAGTCCCTCCAACTGCGCTAGCCGGTGCAACTTCTCAACACAAATGAGCAGTGAATAGCAGTGATATGGCTTGTTTGAATCCTCATATCCGGAAGTTGTGTCGACCAGGGGTTTCTGCTTGGGAATCTCGATGCCGCAAGCTGTTTGGACTCGAGTCGGCAGACTTGCTGACCTTCGAGATATCACAGCCATGGCTGACGAAGAGGAAGCAGAAGAGGAGCAACGCTTTTTGGGGGGAGGAAGGGAGCTGCCGTTTGCACATAGGCTGGACCTTAGGACCAGTGGCATCTTGCAGAAACTGGTAGTGGCTTCGCTGATCGACAGCACTTGCCGAAAGACCTGCTCAAGTAGATAGGTTTTGCCAGCCTGCTGTAGTGACCGCAGAGGGCTGGTAGGGCCATGAACGGAATGCGGCTGCTCAGAGCAGGGCCTTTAGTCCTTTTCTGGTGTGCGGTAGCCGCGCAGCCGGCGCAGTGGCCCCATACCAGTGGAGGTTCCGTGATAGGAATCACGCTTCCTGCAAGTGCAGGAGGAGCGGAAGTAGATCAGTTCCTTGGTGTCCCTTTCGCCCGAGCAGAACGATTTCAGCCTCCAGTGGATTTCCACGAGACCTACCCTGGGGGCAGCGTCAAAGCAACAATGTGGGGTCCAGCATGCATGCAAGTGGCAGGGGATCCTACCCAGACATATGGAAGCGAGGATTGCTTGAAGGCAAATGTTTGGAGCCCTCGCCATGCTTGGCAGACAGAGAAGAGGCTGCCGGTCATGGTTTTCATTTACGGCGGTTCCAACCAGTTCGGAGAGGCGGAGCCCTACAACATGCCCCTAAGCCCCGCATTAGTTTTGCATTTGGGTGGCCACAGTTCGAAGCAGACAAAGAAGACTAAATCCACGAATATTTGTGAGTCCCCGGCTTCTGGTTAGCAAGGAGTGCTTTGGCAGCCTTCCACAACGTTGTCTGCGTGTCCTTCAACTACCGAACAGGGCCCATTGGGTGGATGGCATTCCAAGAGGATGTAGATGCGCATCGCTCCACGGGCAATTGGGGCATTCTTGATATTCAGAGTACCTGGTCAAGCATCACCAGGAGTGAAGCTGGTCTTGTGTTTGACTCCATGCTCTGTTTTGGACCTTCGCAAGTCATTGCTGAGGTGCCCTCCGCTGGGTGCAAAAGGAGGTTGCGGCCTTTGGCGGCGACGCATCGCATGTCGCGATCCATGGCCAGAGCTCAGGGGCAGGCACTGCAAAGACGCAGTGTCATGTGTTTGAAGAGATCAAGGGCGTGTGTTGTTTGAGGCTCCGACGGGCCGTA